CCGAAACGATTTCTCCAAGGCATGCTAGAAAGTCAGTCGTTTCGGTCGCTTTTTTAAAGAAGCCATTTTCTGAAAATTTCGACGTTTCTTTCTGTTCTAAATCGTATGAGAGTCCGAAACGCGTATATTCCTCGATTATGAATACGTTTTGTTAAAAAAAAACCAAATATTGAAAATATGGGAAGGGGCAAATAGTTTCAATCAAATTTTGAGATCATTTTTTGGCGAAAATACGGAGGTATAAAAAGACCCAAAGAAATTTCGAACGGCGACTTCTCCGATTTTTCGTATCGCTAGGGAACTTTCCGACTATTCCTTTTCCAAATTTTTTTCTCGATAAACTCTTCGTTTTGACTTTTCTTAGATAGTTGATTCACAGTTAAAACACAAAGTAAAATGAAAACATTCCTATTAATAGACATTTTATAAACCGAAAAACATAAGGGAAATAAGTCGGAAAGGAATTAGTTGGAAACGTCGCCGGCGGAAAGTTTCCTAGCGATATGGATAAGTCGAAAAATCTGCCGTTCAAAAATGCGCTGGCTTTTCTTTGTACCACCGAAAATATACAAATTCAGAAAAAACAAGTGAATTTTTGTGAATTTAACGGGCAAATTTTTTTGAAAACTGACTTCGAAACGGGTCAAACAATACATAAATACGCACTTTAAAAGCGTTAACACCTTAATGAAGCACAATAAACTTTTTCGAAATGACTTTCTCCATTTTTCCCTGCTCCTTCAAGGTTCTCCTGAGCTCTTCCTGATCAAACTTCATAGTCTGTTCAGATTTTGAATGTCGAGTCGTCGCTCAAGCTCCGCCCTTAATGGCGCTACAAACCAATCAGAGAGCGAGCCATCCACAGAGCGTTTTCGAATGACTTCATTGTACTTTTGAGATTCAAAATGCGAGCAGGCTTTAAATTCTCTTTACAACGAAAACATCAAAAATTTATTCGATAAAACAAAACAAGACAAAGAAATAAAGAAGGCAGACCGACCTACATACTTCTTTACATTCCATAACAACAATCCGTATGGGTTTGCAAAGAAGTACGTCGTTCAGTTGCCGTTTCAAGGAAACTTTTCGAAACAAACCTTGTTCACTCCATCAATACACAGTTATGAATATAGAATAACGAATATCAGTTGAAATGCCAGAAAAGTGAAAAAAAAGTTTGAAAGATCAGAGAAGAACTTGAAGAAATGGGCTCTGGTGCGATTAGCGAAAACTACAGTAACCTAATTGACAAAAATTTCATATAAAAGCCCAAATTTCCAGAAAGATCAATAAATACCTCATCGAAACCAATAAAAAACTACCTCCAAAGTTTCTTATCTACTTTTTATTATCAAAACTCACAAAAAATCATCACAAATGACTTCAAAAGCTGCAGGAATTGCAACGCGAGACATTATGAGCCAAAAAAACGCCCTTCTTGTCACCAAATTCTCATAGGAGAACTTAAAAAAATGAACTCTTGAGAGAAACTCAAAGAGAGTTTTTCGATAATGGCCGAAGTTTTCCCATGAATGAAAAAAAAAGATTGTACTAATTTGCGATTTTCATAAAAATGTACACTTTCTAAGAAGCTCCTACCAAGAAAAATTTCGAAACAAAACTCAAAGTTTTTTCGAATCTTGTAGATCGATAAAAAAAACTTATAGGATGTTATTTTTAAAAATTTTAATTTTATGACGCCTATTACCAAGTGATCCCAAAAGTTCCTGAAGTTGAGGAAAAACCGCTAAAAACATTGAAAATCCGTACTATCTCATGACTATTTCAAACATTTTTCTAAACAAAAGTGTTATCAATTTCTCGCTATAGCGCTCAAAGTGAACAGAAACGCAAGAGGGATCGAAAGAAAAAGTGCACAATTTTTTTGCTGTGTGGAGGGTGAGAGCCGCGCGGCTTGCAGTGCACAAACAGGCCTCCGTCCGAAACGAAAGAACTGCCCCGACATCGATCAATACTTCTCCTTCCCATCACTCCGGCCCCAGCTTCTCTCAGCTCATTGAGGATCCGTCGATGTCTCTCACTTTCTCAGAGAGATCCGTGATTTTATGAACCACTGGAAAGAATGATGACGATACAGCTGATAGTGGATAGGGAACACTCAAGAGGATCTAAGGTCGCTTGAGTGAACACTAAATTTGTTTAGAAGCGCTGACATCACTTAAGTGCTCAATAAACGACTCAAAAGTTCTGGATTTTTTCCTGCGTCTTTGATATGCTTATTTCATTCGAAGGGAGCATTGAGTGGGAGTAAGATCACTTGAGTGAACACTACATCGATCAGATGTCCGTCTTAACTTGTGCCAATGAGTGATGAAATTCAAGTTTCTCGTGTCCTTTTTAGAAGCGCTGACATCCCTTGAGTGGGCACTGAATGCCTCAGAAGTTCTTTAATGTTTCAGATTGTCAAAAGGAATATCTTACTCCATCAGAAGTTCTAAGAGAAAGCTCCGAATGTCTAGAGACCACTATAGAGATTGAAGCTTAGTACTACCTTGAATATAGGCCTTTAAGGTCCTTAAATGAGCTACAAGCCGGAACGAAGGGCATTTCTGAAAAATGGATAAAGAAGTCACATTGAGACCTTAAAACCTCCCATCCGTCCCACTTTGAAAAAAAAGAAAATCATTAAAAAAGTCCTCGAAAACCCGAGATATTATCCATAGATCCAGGCCGGCGGATTGCCTTTTTTCCTGCCTTTTTGAACGTTCCCCCACGCAAATTACGCTAAAATGAGGACGTCGGGAAGAAGGACGACAAAAGCTGAAAGTGAATTGAAGAGGGCAGCCGATTTTCGATTTTGTTCCGTATTTGGCGATCGACGATTAAAAAGCCGGATTTGGTTCAACTCGAATTAGCTTTGATTTGAATATGATGTGTTCGGAAATCCGCGCTGGGGTTTTTAAAAGGAGCATTGGAGAATCTAGAGAAAGCCTCGAAGGTCTTTAAAAATTCCAGAAAAAAATCATTAGAGTTAGAGTTAAATTTTAAGTAGTCGTAAACAAAAAAGAAAAGAGTTATTTTTAAGAAAAAAGGATCCTGGAATAATTAGAAAGAGTGCGTAGAATTGAGAGGGTCCTACCGTTATCTATAAACTTTTTTGGCTAGTTTTGAGTTGCTTTAAAGTTCCTGAAGCGGATAAACGGCTAACTTGAGCTATAGAGGAAACAGTCCTGCCACAATACAAGTAGAGATAGTGCCTGGCTGGAGGAGAGCCCAGACAGGCCACGCCCCTTTGGAGTCCCAAGCTATCCGTGAATCGGCTACAGGTTCGAGGAAAGTCAAGAAAAGAGCCCTGATAAATTGAAACTTTTTGAACTCGAAAAAAAAGCAGCAATTCATTTGAAAAAAATTCGAAAATTCCCATTCATTTCTTGGAAAAAAGCCATCGGAAAACTCCCGAAATTTCCTTTTGAACTTTCAAAAACCGTCGAAAAAGGCCCTCTCACCGAAAAACCAACAAAAAAGGAGCGCCTCAAATTCGGAGCGGGCCGGGGCTGATTCAACGGCGATTCATCCCCAACACAGACGCTTTTGTCTCTCTTACGTCGGAAAACGGTGGGAAACTGAAAGTTTCTTTTGCCTTTCAAAGCAAAAAACTTCAGATATTTTTGGATGAGAGTGCTTTCCGATAGCCATAGAGTCATTTGAAAAAGAGTATAATTGGAAAAAATTTTTTTTCCGAACTCTTTCTGGCCAATTCATAAACTTAAAAAAAAGCCTGATCCAAGCGTTTTTTTAAAATTAGAAACTTCTAAACTAAAATTTCAAAAAGTTTAGAAAGGTTATTGTGAAGATAAAAAAACATTTTGAGCCGAAAAATTATCTGAAATAGCTCTTACTTCAAACATGGTTGTCGCACTTGGAATGGCTCAAAGCGATACGCTTAGAGTCATGTTCCAACGTTTTTTTGAGGGCGAAAAGCACGATAAACCGCTTCAAGTCGGGTGCGGAGACATTCCGAGCGCTACCATGAGCTTCAAAATGGAATGTACATCAGAAATAACGTATTAGAATCTACTAGAACTATTGATATTTAACAATTCTTGCAATTTCCCATCCCTTCATTCACTTTCCCGAAAGTCTTTATTGAAATTTGAGAGCGTCCCAGACGTTTCTATTTAGATTTGTGATGATCCAAGGAATTTCTTCAATTTTTTCCCGTTTCCAAACTAAACGCAGCCTTAGACAAGTTTTATGAAGGGAGTTGGTATGAAAGCCGCAAAAAGCTCGATTTGCACTCGAATAAAGGTGAAAACAGGCTGAATAATTTGTTTTGAAACCTTAAATTTGCAAAATTTTTTTGCCAGTAATAACCAAAAATAAAATAAAATTTACATATTTTTCGATTATAAAACGTAGCTGAAGTTCCTAAGAAGTTTTGTAACATACAGATAAAAACTTTGAAAAATTCCGACTTTCAAAAACTCGTGAGTTTTCTGTTGTCGAATGAAAATTCCAGAAAAAGGCCTGAGACAGCTTCGAAGTCGTCAAAACTTTCGTGGAATAGTAGAAAAGTCTCATCAAAAACAAATCTGTATAATAATTATTTTCAGTTAAAAAAGGTTTTCAAGAAATTGAGGAATTGAGGACCTCAGTATTAATCTGTGAAGACTGTCTCATGTTGAAGATTACCAAAGAAGGCTTTCTAAAAACTTTTCTACGTCCCTTAGCACTAAGATTTTTTAATCTGATAAAAAAGTTATGATTTCCAAAAATGGTAGAAAATTAGAATATCCTAGAATTGTTAAAGAGCGAGAAAGTACTAGGGGCTGAGGAAAGTCTCAAACTTCGAAAAACCTAGCCTAGATGTTTTAGAAAAGATAATCCAACAAGTACCGGAGAAAAGGATCGAAGTAACCTACAAGAAAGAACTGAAGGAATCTTCGATAGCACTAGATCAAGTTCAAGAAAGAGACGTCGAAAACGAAGAGAGCAACAATAGAAGTAGCAGCAGAATTCAACTGAACCTTGGGAGAGGAATGATGCAGCCAGGTATAGGAAAGACGAAGGGTCGAGTGGCAAGTGAATGGAGGTGGGGCTCTGGATCCATCGGTCGTCGTCGTCGTCGTCGTCGACGGCGGTAGAGTGTACGGAGGAGTGGAGGAGGAGGGGGCGTGTCGTCGGTGCCACGCCCACGCAGCGTCTTACAACGACGAGAGAAGAGGCGTCGGGGAGAGAGAAGCTAGAAGCTTTTGGCTGGAGGAGAATGAAGAGGAGGAGGAGTAGGAGGTCATACCGTCGGACAAGCCGATTGTCCAAGCAGTTTTTAGTGGAACGACCTCGATTGAACTTGATTGATGACTTTTTGCTTGAAATGTCATCGAAAGTCTTATCCGGGAAAGCTTTCAAAAGCCGTCTTTTATCAGCTTCTTCTCAAGCCATTTCAAAACTAGCTCAAACGATTAATTATTGAGCTTCTTAGACCCAGTCCAACTCGGGCATAGCCGGAAAGTCTTCAAAAAGAATCAGGAGTTTTTTTTTGCTTGAAATTTCTCAAGTCCATTCTAACAGCATTAAGTGACAGCTCAAAAGCTTTCACCTCTTCAGTTTTTATTAAACAGCCGTCAGAAGCCACGTAAGCTGCCACTAGACTTCAAACTTCCAGTAGAAATTTTAAATACAAACAAAGTTAAAACAAGACGGTTAAGGTGGAACTGGTGGACCTCTGATGATATTCTAAAGCCGACCTAATATTTTCTAAGAACAAATATACTGGCCAAAATCTTATCGGCTTCTAAAAAGTCAGGAGATTTTGGAATTCACTTTTCGATGAAGCTGGATTCGCTTTTGGAACTCAAAAAACCGGCTCTGTCGGTCTAATGATGTTCAGACGAGCTCAAAGAGGTTTAAAAGATCTTCTAGAAGTTTCTGATCAAGGGCAAAACTTTTGAAGAGCTAGACCGCCTCAACTTGATTCCTGTTCAAGAAGAAAGAAAAAGCTCGCGACGGTCTGCCAAGGAGCCACAGTACGGCGGAGTTCTCCCTCCAACTGTTTGTCGAGGCATTTTGGAGAGGTGAGAGGTCGAGTGTCGCCTCGCGTCCCCCGCCCTGAGAGTTGCGAGAAGAGCAAACACGGGGTGGAACAGTACGTGCGCGCCGTCGCATCGAGCACTCGTCCGAATGCTTCTCCACCTTCCTTCTCCACAGAGGAAAGCCTCAAGACGCGCTGGCCCCAGTACTTGACAACTTGTTGGAGCGGCGGCCGTCTGTTTGCCGATAGGTTTTGAAGAAGGAGATGTGCTAGGGGGAGCAGCGATTATAGGTTGTTGTTTAACGACAAGTGGAGAGACCGGTCTAATAACCCTTAAGAGGCCTCTTGAAGTCATTAGAAGTAAAATGTCGTCCTAAAGGTTCTAATAGACTTTTTCAAGACATATAAACCTAAACTGGCTTCTTGAGATCGGTGTTGGAAGTTGATAAGTAAGTTTTATAGTGAATAAAGACCCTCAAAGTAAATCTTGAGACAGTCGATCTTACAACCCTCAAGTGACTGCTCGGGATCAAAAAATTGGGGTAATTCGCTCAATACTCCCAGGCGTCTCCTTGCACCTTTAAAAATCTGTGTAGACAATTCAGATTCCTGTTATTAAAGTGTCCTAACACGTAAATGACTTTTTATTTTTTTGAGACTGTGCTTTTTCCGGACTTCAAAAAGTTATTAATTAAAATTATCTTCAATTCAAAAAAATCTAAAAGAGTTCAAGTTTCAAAGAAAACTTTAAAATTTTGCGGGAAAAATTTTTATAAGTAAAACACTGAAAATTTTAACAGATTTCATTTTTTTTTCCACTAGAAAGCATACATTTTTTTCTTCGCATCTCTGTTACCTCTTCCTACAGTCCAAATCGTATTTAACTCGATGTTTGTTCTCCAACTTTTCCTTGCTCTAGCTCTAAGTCCATCTGTAAAAAAAAAAGTCAAGTTAAGAGAGCTCTGACGCATTTCAGTAAAACTTTACAGAATTCCAATTTAAACCTTATATTTTTAAAAAAATAAACATATAAAATTGAAAATAAGACGAATTTTTTTCTCATTGAATTTGTAGTAGAATCGACCATTTTCTTTGAATTCTTCCATCTAAAAATGGAAAGTTCCAAAAATTGAGTCATAAAAAGGATAATTACTTTTTCACGTGAAGAGTAGAAGATGGAAAGACGATCTTCTTATTGTCAAAAAGTTCTGTTCAAAAATAAATTCCTTTTTCAATGAATTCGTGAATTGTTATTTAAAAATTTTTTTTTTCAAAGGAAGCTCAATGAAGAAAACCACTTCTACGCTCGAGAATTCGGGAGATTCAGTCTTTCAAAACTTCGGCTAAAAACTGACTCGGACTTTGGTAACTTGAACCAGACGTTTCTAGTGACCACTTTAGTGTCGTCAACACTCTTAAGTGATCCCTAGAATTGCTCAGACACATCCGGTTTTCATTACCGAGGCCCGTGAATCAATTCAAAATTCGTGTGGATAGAGCGGACTTTGCATATGTAAGAAAAAAGAAACTCTTCTTCTTAATTTTTTACATTTTTATTTAGTATTGTCAAAATGAGATCGAGGGAGTTCTAAGCTGAGCCAAACTTGTTCTTTCCCAGCCGTGGGTCCGGCCGAATGGGTTACAGCCGGCGACAAGGCAATCTGAGCCCATTATTCATGGCAATAAGAGTGACGAAAAAAAGTGGTAAAAACCAGGCGGACCTTCTGATTCATAACAGCTTTCTTCAGAAGGCCGAGGCAAGAGTTGAAACTTCTTTAGGTCTTCATAAAGCTGTTATGAACGATTTTCCACATTTTTCTTCTTCTTCCTTGAATTCCATGTGCATCCAGCGAGCACTTGTCGCAATGTTTCAATCCACGTCGAGAGTTCTTGACGACAAAAAGCCGTGTTTTAATGACGTGGGCGGCGGTCCGTTCCTCGGAAAAGCGCCGCCGACTCGGGTCATTTCGAGGACATATGATAATGAACATTTGTCCCGGACATGAAGGATTAAAAATCCTACTTTTGAACCCATTTTAAAATTGCCTAAGTATCACTCAAAAATTTCCCATGGGAACTTTTTTTCCAAAGTTAACTTCAGACATTGGAAAATAATGAAAAAGGCTCCAAAAACTCATGTCATGCTTTAAAAGGTCCCTGAGACCGAGCCATCAGCAACCGCCAAAATTTAAAAGCGAAGGTGGGTTTTGACTCGATGTAAAGCTTGAAAACCTTTGATAAATTGTCCACCGCCTCCTCAATCTTATCCGGCGAAAGGAATCATTTTAAACCTACTATCTCAGAAAACACAAAAAAAAGATTTTTGGCTACAACCACCGCCTATACGGCCAACGGAGGGTTAATTTCGCAACTTTGAGGAAGGAGAACTTTTTCAAAGACCTTCCGGCAAAATCGATCGCATATTCTGAATCCAGTGAACATATTCTTATTGTGAGTTGAGAACATTTTAACACCGCCTACCTAGATAAGTTTTTCATCGCCTACTCAATCTTTTCGACTAAAAATACTTTTGAGATTCCAAAAAAAAAAAGAAAAAGGTTTTTAGCAACAACCGCCGCCTACACCGCCAAGCGAGGGTGAGTTTAGCAACCGCCTCGGCCTGAGAGGCTCCTCTATTTCAGTCGCATCCGACCTCCGCCTTCTTCCGCGCCGTCCCTCAGGCCGGCCGACCGTTGGCAGTGTAACAGGCGCGGTAAACCCTCTCTTAACACATTTCACCCCCCTTCCTGGCCAGCAGCTGCGTGGGGGTGGCCGCTGGTTCTACTTGGCTGTAACTTTTGAGAGAGAAAGAGACCCAAAAATCCGAGGGATTTCTGCCGACATTCGATACGCTTTGCAAGTACGGTAGAGTTGAAAGAGCGAAAAGCAAGTGAGGAGAGTTCAAGCAGAGGAGATTTCTCGGCAGAAGTTAGAATGACTTGAATCAAGAAACGAGAACCCGACTAATCAAAAATTTAATCTTATTGAGAAATGATAACAATTTTTTGTTTGAGATCTTGTCCTTCTTGCGTTTCTTGCGACATGCATTTCGAATGGTTCAGAAATCCCCAAAAAATCGCGTCAAACAGCGTAGCTTTCATGTATCTATATTATTCCATGATCTATGCTTTATGCCTTGTTCAAAATAATTCGGCGATTTCAAAATGGACGCTTTTTCGTAAAAAAAAACGATCAGAATTTCGAGAGCCGTTAAACAATGGGTCCCACAAAGATATATTGCGATACCTCCACGCGCGAAGTCCAAATTCAGAACATATTCACCGGAAAAATCAAAGTGGCGTGTAAAAGTCACCGCAAAAAATAACGAATAACGCGTCAATTTTGAAATCACCGAAATTAATTCGAACAAGGCATTACAGATAATTATTCTTTCGCAAATATCGAGCTGATTTTCTCACTTTTTTTTCGAATTGCTGAAGTTTTCCAAAGCCTCAACCTTAAAATAAGAAAATTGCTCTCATAACTGACTGAATCATTTAGAAAGTTCGGACACTGATCTTCAAGAAAAGATCAGTTGCCCTTCTCGAAATGAATCTTCGAATGAAGTTTATATGAAAGTCCAACTCGAAAAAGAACTGCACCTACTCGATTTATTGTTTGGAAAAGAGCTACGGTCCGCTTTCACGTTATAAAAAAGCGGTTGCGAAAGATGTAAAAAAAAGGACGGATTGACCGGGGAAAAGGAACGCGGTCAAAAAGATGTTTGCGGAAGTTGGGCTCAGAAGACGCCGCCGTGTTTGCGTCGAGCCAACACACAAAGAGAGGCGAACCGTCGCTTCTCCTTTTTTGGTAGGATCCCTTGGATTTCCTGTCAAACAACCGTTCGACGGAAGGAGCTTACAAGAGGTCTTTCCTACAGTTTTTCGGTCTGGAAACTTTTAGACAGGGTTCTGTAGCTCAGAGGTTAACAAAAATCGTCACAATTGACGCGGAATGGGCTATAACCAATCGAAGCGTGAACTATACCATTACCGCGAAGAAAAAGAGATTTTTCGGCATCGTTTGAGCGTCATACCTCTACTAAAAAGTAAAAGGTGCTATTTTATCGGACTGATTTATGCTCAGGATGTCCTAAACTACCTGCCAGCCGCTTTTCAACCTATTCTCAAGCGGGCACCTTTTCTACCTCCTTTTCCTAACTTTGAAAAATATGGAATATTTTACTTATTTGGCCTTTTCTAATCTTTTTTTACATGAAAATCTAGTAGCGCCCTTATAGGACTTTTTCTCGCGATTTTTCTGAAAATTGGCTCGAAGAGCTCTTGATGTACCAGATGAAGAACCTGGAAGTCTCAACCTGAAAAACTTCCCAGTTAGAACTGCCAAAAGGGAAAAAAACTTCCTTAAAATAGGCTACTTTGGGGCCTTATTTCTCGAAAAAAAGAGTTGAGTAGGTCGAGAATTCCAGAAACCTTCTTTGACATGCCAAGGAGTGTTCTGGCCAACTTTCAGGTGAACCCCAACCATAAAGTAAAATGAAAAACAGAATATTTTACTGATTCATATTTTTCTAAACTTTTTTCTCTTAACTCTAGTTCAGCCAACCTTCTCAGCCCTCAGTTTCAAGAAAATAGGAAATAGTCCATTTTACGAAACTTTTCAGTTTGAAAAGCTCCAGCTTCTAAATGAAGCTTCTCGAACTGATTTCCTCAATCAAAGTCCATCCCGCAAAAAGCCGATCGAGGTCATTAAGCCGAGGAGAGAAGCGAAATAAGATACGGATCGCAGTAAAGGCGCCAAACAAAAGCGGAGATGACCCAAATCCGAAGGACTTTCGATTCCTTTCCCCCATTGGAAGAAGGAACGCAAGTGAAATCGTTTTTCACTTTTTACTCAAATTCGTTTGTCCCCGTCGAGAAATCCGGGGGAACAATTCATCGGGTCATTTCCTCTTTAATAATTGCACTAGAGGTTTGGATAATTAGAAGTGGATTCTATTGAGAAATCGGGGATCTACAAAAGGAGTTCAAAATGGAAAAAAAAAGGAAAGATAATTTTTATTAGTATTTTCTGAATCTTTAGCATTCGCAAGGCATATGGTTGGTACAGGAAGATTATAGTCTGTTCAGATTCTGAATGTCAAGTAGAATGACGTCATTCGAAAACGCTCTGTGGATGGCTCGCTCTCTGATTGGTTTATCGCACCATTATGGGCGGAGCTTGAGCGACGACTTGACATTCAAAATCTGAACAGACTATATTAAGCTTTAGTCCGCTCTATCGACAACTATACTCAAAGCTTTTGTTTCGATATTGATATAGCTTGTTCACGGCTGGCTTAAGACAGCAACAGGCGGTTTTATTTTCGCGGAGAACGTAGATCATGACGACTCTACATGCGCCTTTAAAAAGTGCCCCATTTTTTGATTTTTCTTTTTCTTGCATAGTTCGTCGATTTGAAGAAAATCTAGAAACCAATGAGAAGAATGCAGATAAAAAACTGGCATGCTGAAAGAGTCGGTCGTTTCGGTAGCTTTTTTAAAGTAGCCATTTCCTAAAAATTTTGAAGTTTTTTTTGTATATTTCTCAGATTTCGTGCTTTTTCAATGAGTTTCCTGTCAACCTTTTTAAATTGACCTGAAATCGAAATATGATGAGTGGGAAATAGTGTTAATTAAGATTTGAGAGCATTTCTTGACCACAATAAAAAAATTCAAAAAAAAAAGTAAATTTTCGTAAAATTAATGACCAGATTTTTTGAAAACTGACTTCAAAACTGGCCAACTATGAAGAAATGCGCGCTTTACAACCGTGAACATCTTAATAAACCGAAAAGCGGCCGGCTTTTCCAACGTGCCATAAAAACTAAATGGGAAGAAACGGAAAAAATTCACCAAATGAGGCTCTTATTAAAGGCGCCCGTAGCGTCACCATTATCTACTTTCGCCGCGCAAGTTAAACCGCCCGTTCCCACCAAGATCCCCATCGATAGGGACACGGTGCATTCCGCTTTTAGCCCTCTGGTGCGTCATTGGGGTCTGCACCCTGCGATTGCTGAGTTAGCTGTCCCAAGCCAGCCGCGAAAGGGCTATAACTTTTTTTCTCCAAAAACTAAGCTTTTAGTGGTACTTGGAATTTCCAGCAACAATATAATCTCACTCGACGGATCGTAACATTTACTTCAGGGAAAACAGAAGAAAAAGCAAATAAATTGAAAACCAAGGTTTTCGATAACATCAAATAAGATAACACAAGGAGAATACACAAATACAAAAAAAAAAGTTCGTTCAACGGAAGCTGAAGCTCGCATCTATCGCAGACGTTAAATTCGCAACAAAAAAGAGCAAAATAATCGAACTATCGATCTACAAGTGGGTAAAACTAGAAGACAACAAGGAAGGAAGGGAAATAAATAATAAGTTCGCAGTTTTGCGTTTGAACAAGACAAGAAGGAGAGAGAAAAAAAAATTTTCAAAAATCTACCAATAATTTAAAATATGTACGAGAAGCAATAAGCGAGGTTGATCAGGGAGAGGAGAAAAAGAGGTTGGAAAAGATCATCAAATTTGGGAGGTGAGGAGGAGTCAAAAGAAGTAACTAACAGCGAGATCCGAAGAAAAACGAAAAAAAAAAAATTAAAACTACTCCACTACCGGATATGCGAGTGTGTTTCAAAACAGAACATTTCGAAAAGAAACAGGGGGAGAATAATATTCAGCAACATACAAAAGAAAAACGAGTCAATCTGACACTTTGATCGACTCTAGCGAGGCCCATAACGTTGGCGACCAGCTTGTGAATTTCGAACGCTAAAAATGATCACATCAAAAGATTAATGATAAAAAAGTGGAAAACCATTGCTGAAGCAAATATTGAGCCGCGTGGATCTGCGACTGAGTGCCAGTTATTGTGATGATTCGTTCGGAGTGGCCATTTGCCGGATCCAACGTAATTTGTGCGCCCGACTTTTCGCGGATTCCCGCGATTCGTTCCCCGCCACGGCCGATGATAGTTCCGCCCAAGTCAGATGGGATCGTCACCTGGAAAAATGTATTATTCGATTGCAATTTTGAAGTTCTTTGCTAAAATCTCTGAAGGCCCACATAGTCTTAAAAAAAACATTATTTTTTTATTTAAATGAACAACTTGTTCAGATATCTTCGTTTGAGCAATTGGAAAGCTAAACCAAAAACTTTAAATAGTAAACTAAGAAATTTCTTGAATTCTTACGCAATATCAAACAGAAATATTAGAAAATGAAAAAAATGATGAGAAATGAAAACTCAAAAAAACAAATATCATATAGCTCAAACTTCGTTTCTCCCGCCATTATACCAAAATGAGTCATTACCGAAATGGTTCCTTTTTCTTATTCACTATATTTGCGCCGCAGCAGGAAATTTCAAACAAAAACTTCCAGAATGATTTTTCATATTCTCCATTTTTCAAATTAACCTGCGCCTGAGTGATGGGCGCCGGCGTAAAGCCTCCGAAGCCAGCATAGCCGCTCTGAGGCAGTTCCGGAGAGTACTGCGGAGCTGGAGCGTAGTTGCCCTGGGTCGCGAATTGGTATTGAGGCGGAGGGAAGTCGTTGCGACCGGGAGGCGACCGCATAGGACGAGAGTTGGAGCTTCCTCCACTTCCGTTCCAAGAACCACCGCCAGAACGTCCGCCGCGCGTCGAAATCGAACGAATAGGATTGCTGCCACCGCTGTCGCCGCCACGACTGATCGAGCCTGTACCGCTGAAGCCTCCGTATTCGGCGACCGTGCTTGGATCATGGTTGAACGGTGAATATTGATTGCAATTTCCCTGAGAATCGTCACTATTACGGATCGCAGAGTCCACTCAAAAATTATTATTTATTTGTTTAAAGGAGAATCATCATAAGGGTTAGAATAGAACCTTAACAACTATATAAAGTCAATATGCTTTTGGGTCCTAAACACAAACCCTTATGGACACCATAAATTTTCAGCTAAAATAGTTCCAGGTTTTAATTTTAGTCAATAAAAATTCATTCTTACCATCACGTTTTCAAATAAGAGAAACATGAACGGGATGTAAAGAAAAACACTTAAGTGCATAAATCTGTTACACCAGCTACCGACTGTCCGAAATTCCCTTTTTTCATCTTCTTCACCTTGATGGGCAGCTCTTTGAGCTCGCTAATCACACTCTGTACAATATTCAGACAATCGGCCACTTCGCCAGACGTCACCAAGACACGATCGGTTGAATTTGGGCAGCAAACGCCGAAAATCTGAAACACAGAATTTTCAAATGTCTTAAAACAACGCTACCTTCAGCCTAACGTTCCATTTTTCTCTGAGTTCCTTGATCTTGGCACCACTGCGGCCAATGAGAGCACCGGCGTGAGATTGGTGCACAAGAAGTCTCAGCTCGCAAGGATCTTTATCAGTTGGAGCCTGAATAAACAAGGTGAAAAAGGCTTAAAAAGTAAAAACTACAATCCGAGAGAAAAATAATAAAAACCTCATCCATGCGAGGAATGATTTCTTCCATGATGTTCATCACAGTTGACGGCGCTGCGACAATCGTAACGACACTGAAACGTTGAAAATTAATTTTTTTTTTTCGGACCGATAATAATCTCTTTATTCTACATCAATCGCAAAAATACATCAACTGCGTAACGGTGAACCTACAATCGCTTTGAAAGTGATCAAGAATTGAGAAATGAATGAAGGAAAGGGTCATTTACCGTTCGGGGGAGTTGGAATCGGGGACCTGGATCTGTGCATCGAACTGAAAAAATCGAGGGTCTACAATATCGGTGGATATTTTCATATTTGTTCGCAAAATTTATATGGGTTGGAGCCGTTTGGAAAATAAAAAGTATGGGCTGAACAATTATGGGGACGCATAAGAATCGTCTTAAAAAAAAATTGAGGTCGGTAACTTCATAATGAAAAAACCAATGTTGAAACAAATATACAAGTTTCTATAATCAATTGAAGAAAATGAAGAAAAAATAAAACCAACAAACCGTAGTGCGAAGGCGACGGATGTTTTCTCCACCTTTTCCAATTATCCCACCAGCCGTTTTGCTGCTCACTAACAGCCGCAGTTCAAATTTTCCGTTAGCCAAAGCTTCGGAAAAGCTGAAACACGAAAAAATTAATGACAAAAATTAAACAAGGTTTTAACGAACCCATCGCCTTTGGAACGCTTATTGCGGTGTCCCTGGCGATCATCGCCATCGCCTTCATGTTCACGCTTCATACCTATATCGTACATAAACGTTTCTCGAGTTTGAAAGAGGGAAACAAACAATAAACACTTTTGAAAAACAAAAAAACCATGGAAAACTTGAAAAAATTGCAGCGCGCCAAATATTGACCGCGTGCCGCGACGCGCCCGACGAAACTGGCAGGTGGCAACCAGCCCGCCAATTCAAATTTGGCTAACAAAAAATCATTTCTAAAATTGATTTCATGTTCATTTTTTTTTATTTTTTGGCCGTTTTTCCGATCTGAAAGTACTTCTAAATTTGGATAAATATGTTTCGAGCAGTTTCAGGATGGGAAAGTTAGACCAAAGTTTTGACTTTCTCAAAAAAAAAAATCAAAGTTATTCAGAGCTTCACCATTTCCACTGTTTTCAAGACTCTTGAAGAGTCAAAAAAATTTTATTTGCAAAAAAATTCCAGCTTCCAGCGCAAAAAAATTATTACAGAAAAATAAACTCACTATGGAGGACACTTCGAAGTTGGTCAAACGAAAACATGAAATTGACCTTCCTCTGCCGCTGAAAGCGCTCCATGATTTAAAAATGTGTTTACTATTTTTTCATTCATTTTTTGATTTTAATTTTTTGACGTGAAACTTTTTTGCGTGTCTACTATTTCTAATTTACGTGTTTATTGGGATTTTTCGTCTGCAGCAGCCGGCGAAATCGCCCTACGATGAGTAGTGCTCAGGGAGTGTGGAGTGGCAGTGTACCAGCGGAATCGACGGCTATGAATGGCATTCGAAACGGTATATTGTATTTCTTTGGAATTATATGTTTCTCGTTTTTTTAAATTTCTTTCTAACTTTATTCATTTTTGGGGGTGAGTTTGAGTGATAAGTCAGAGAACATATTGAGATTTGCGATCCTGTTGGTCTGTCTGAGAAATATTTTCGTCCCTCCGAGGACCACTTAGGTTCAAGTCCTCCGAGTTACCACTTAAACTTACCACCAATTGTTTCAAGTTGCGCTACGCACTATTACGACTTTAAAACTACCGTAGCAATATAATTATTACTTTTAGAAAGGATTGTTGAATTTTGAAATTTTCGCGTTTTGGCTCACGATTATATTGGGTTTTAAGTTTCTTGCTCAAGCTTTAGAGGCGCGAAACTCTTGCACGACTCGAAATAACAATCTTCGCCTCCAGAGCTTATTGAAAATAGTCAATTCACTTTTTAATACTTGTGCAAGTGTTTTTGAACATGCCGTGTTCCTTGGAAAGCATCTTGATTATTTTTGAAAAGTGAAGGTTTTCTTAAAAAATGATTCTAAGCTCCCATTTTCGCATTCTCACTTTTTCGTGGAAATAGAGGGGAAAATTTGTTGTAAATTTAAAAATAGTGAAAGTACGAATATTCGCGGAAATCTTTCCTTTTGGATCGTTGTAATAAAAAATTGGAAGTCCTTTTTATTTTTTCCTATTTAAAAAAAAATTTCTGAGTAGATTTCAAATCGCTCTTTTCACGAATTATTCACGATTCCTATATTTTTTTCTTGAGGAGTTGGGGATATAGAAAGTATCAATACGATTTTCAATGGAAAAAGTATCTTACTTCATTTAAAACGCTTCAGGAACAACTGAACTACCGCCGCCGGTATCTCGCGAACGTCACGGCTCATCTGGAGCCAGTTCGGTGGCCTCGGTGCCAACCTATCCACAACATCATCACCAGCACAACAACGTCAACGGGTTTCCTTCGTTTCGTCGCGGTGGAGGGATGCGCGACTACGGAGGACGTCGGAGTACTGATTACAGTTTCTTCGTCGTTATTTTTTATTATTTTTTTTCTCAATTAGGAATGGCCGGTTTTTGTTTTAGCAGAGCGTGCGATATGCGTTTCTAGTTTCAATCAAAAAGTTGAATTTTTAGATTTTGCTCATGAGGGAGTACTTTTACTTTGCTGCCGGGAATTTCCTGAAGGCCAAAATACTTAATGTACCAGGAAGAAGATAAGGGAAGTTTCAACCTGCACAAGCTTCAAAATAGCTCGTTTTAACTGATTTCGAGAGTCTTCTTCGACTTTAAGGTGTCTTTTTTCGAAAAATAGAAACCTGGTCAGATTGAGACTTTCAGAACTTTTTTCCGGTAAATCAAGAAGTTCTCTAGTCAATTTCTAGGAAAATCGCAAACTAATATGACCTCCAGTGTTAGAAAACTTTTATTTGATATTTGGAATTCAGAGAACTTCACGTTAATCTTCAGACTTCGGGCGCCGCGGTGGAATGAGGAATTTTGACGATCCGAGAGGCTACTCGGACTACTACAAAGGCCCACACATGTCAATGCACGGAAATAAGTAGTTTAGGGGGAAAGAAAGGGGATTTTGTATGTCTTGGGATTCAGTTTCCACTACAGCCGCCAGTGGAACGACTACAATGCTCCGCGTGAGCGTCGGACATCAATGCAATATCGGGACAATCAGACCTTGTGTGAGTTTTCCGAGTAATAAGATAGTAGTTTTGATGCGGTTACCACAAGGAAGGTCATTCTACATTGAAGATGAGCGTTTTTGTTAAGATTTTGACTTGTGAATCCCTTGGCGTACCAGAAGAAAATTTTGAAGTTTTCTTCGACTTTCAGCTAATCCTTTTCGCTCAAAGTTCAGTTTGAAGGCGGTTTCGGAGCATTTTTCAGATTTCACTTTTTCCCGAGTGCAGTGCTTTTGAGCCAGCTCTCTAAAGTATTTCTTGATTTCATTTCATGTTTTATGAAATTGTTAACTAATTAAATCTGCACAGCATCGTAGTTATCGAGAAATGAAGGCTCCAGTTACAAATATGACCCGTTTTAAAGTTTTTAATCGTTTTCTTTGACTTCGAGGTGTCCTTTCTCAAAAACTCTGAAGTTTTTCAGGTTGAAACTTTCAGAATCTTCATCTTGCAGTTCAAAAAGTGCTAATGCTAATTTTGAGCAAATTTCTTAACCACTAAATAAAATCACTTTCCATTCTCAGGTGCTGAAAAATTTTAAGAGCTAAAGTTTTCCAAAAGGAAAGTTAAGTAGTTTTCAAAAGGTCAAAAGGCTGAGGCCGATGACCACAAAAAAAGAAACTGATACCGAGTAAAAAATTTTTTTTTTTATTGAAAAAAATAGTGGTCATTATTTAGCAGTTCTATGACATTTTCCCACTCGCTATTCTGACTAGGGAACTACTCGGACTCGGGTACGCGTTTCGAGTTGAAACTTTGGTGGCTTAGAGACTTGGGTAAGAGTACTTGGAAACAAGAGAGATTATCTGCTAAACACCATAGACTTCTGAGAAAATGCTTTTTGAAAATGAACAGTTTAGGCTTAAAAATTATCAAGTTTTTGCTTTCCTCCGTCTTTTAGCTGGAAAAAAGTTTTTTGAAGTTTATCATAGCCGGATCATTCGATGCGATTGTACTAAAGTATAAAATAAGGTAAAAAACAGTATTCTGAAAATTTTCAGGCCTAATTTTCACATTTTCTACAAATTTTTTCTCAGTTTTCTATTGGGTTTAGCAGATATTCTCACTTAGGTCTATAAACCACTAAAGTTTGAACTCGATCTGCGTACTCGAGTCCGAGTAGTTCCCTAGTGAGAAAAATTGTATTGTTTGAACAAAAAAAGGTTATAAAAAAATTAAACAGTTTATTTGAATGATGTATAGAAGTTTGTCTAGATCATCTAGTTCTAGAAAAAGTGTAGCGAAAATGATTTTTTTTCATTAGCGCGTCGTTCTTCACCGGTTCGCGCTCGATACGAAGATAATATGGAAGAAGGGAGCACTTTGCCGAGATACAGAGCTGCTGGTACAGCTCCAAGCAGTAGGTTGGTAAAGCTTGAAGAGAACTCAAGTTCTGGAAAATTTTATGATGAACATTTTAGAAAATAGAGGCTTTCCTACTGTAACAAAGGATGATGAAAGTACAATTTCGGCCAAAAATTGAGCTGATAAAAAAAGAGAAAATAAAGAAAAATGAGTACTTAGCTCAGAAGTCTGGGTGGGAAGCCCATGTGTCCTTCATCTCTTTTAAAAGATTTTAACCATTAAGTGATATTTCATGTGCTCATTCTCGTGCTCAGGTTCCCCAAAATTGAACGCTCAGAGCAGAATTTTCACTTTTGCGCTAAGTCGAAAAAGTGCTCTCAATTACTAACAATTTCACCACGGAAAACAGTGATCTGAGGTCAAAAATAGAGCGAAATATAGGTTTCATGGAGTGAGTCCAATTAAATTCATTTTAATTTTGACTGGAAGAGTTCTAATGGTGTCTTTTGAGTGATAGTTCAAAGTTCAAGTTATTTGGTTCAATCTCTTACTTTGAAAGCTAGTTGCAAAGTTCTCAAACCTGAAAATTGAAAAAAAAAAGTTTTTTAGAATCTTTCTCGGGGAAATAAACGTTATTCACGATAGAGCTTAATAGTCAGAGTGAATTTTTTGGACGTAAGTTTGATAATGAGCCTTAAAATTTGCCTAAAGAAGAACGGGAATGAAAGAACAGCAACGGCTTGAAGAGACGCTAGAATGAGAGTAGTTCGAGCTTCTCTCGCGTCTCTTCAGACCTTCATTTTATTTTTTTTTTTTTTTTGTACATTTGTTCTTCCTTTCAATTATTTTTTTAGAGCTGTAGTTCCGATACAAGTTGTAATGTTTTTTCCAGCATTTCACCGTTTGCCGCCGGTCAGAATCTAACAAAAAGCGACGCCCTCAATGTTACACGAGGTTTGAAAAAGTTTAAGTCTGCAAAATAGTAATCGCTGCTTTTCTTACATTTTTTCTCTCGAAATTAGGCATTTTTCAATCGAAAAAAAAACTGTCTATCACCTTTTTTTCCGAAATTTTGATATTTTTCAGAAATGTCTTCAACTACACCACAGTCCTCTCCGAATGGCGGAGTACAAAGTCAAACTGACAAGTAATTTTGAAAGAGAGAGAATGGACAAAAAGTTATTTTTCCAGAGATGTGGACTTTAAATTTTTGCTCCAAAGTGCACTATGGCAGAGTGGGTTTTGTTCTTTTCATTTTTGGCAATTTCATCTCATTTACGGTTCAAAAAAAAGTTTTTCGCGATTCGATCGTCTTGAATTTGACAAAAAGAAGCATCAGCCTATCCTTGAGTCCAAAAGGAGATTTAAAAAAAGTTTAAATAAGAGAATTTCTCCAAATACAATCGTCAAGTTTTTTGTAAAAGCTAGCCCTTGACTTTTCCGGCTGTGAAAAATTGCGAAGATCGGAAGGTTTTGTCGATTTATCCGGAGTTTTTTCTAGTATCTTCTACTTATTCGTTGTATGTTTGTGAGTTAAGGAAAGCTAAAGAATTATAATTACTGTCAGAAAGTTCATTTTTGGATTCTGAAATTCCATTTTAAAGTTCATTAATTTCATTTTTTTAAGTTCTTACATTTATTTTTTTGACTTCGAAAATTTCATAATTAACTTCAGAAAGATCAATTTTTTTGAATTTACAAGCTTCATATTTGATTTGAGGAGTTACGTATTTGGAAGCAAAATTGATAACTTAGAACTCAAAATTTCCTATTTGACCTCAGAAGTTTCAGCGTCTTCGCCGTACGCGACCGTCTCGACGCCGACCCAAGAAGCGGCTCCGAGCTACAAAAGCGCTGGGAACTCGCCGGACGGAAACTCGGAAGCAGCCGCCGCCGCCAGCAACTTTTCCGCAGCCTTCAGCAACGCGGTGTCCCAACAGAGCATGTACGCCTGGATTCTGCAGTCAGTTTTCTTTTCCTATTCTTCTTTTTTCCCTTTTTTTTTTTGAAACAGGTTTTATATTTTTAATTTTTCACGACTTGAAAGGCGAGATGGGTTAATTGGCAAAGGTGACGCGTTGCGTACGCGATGCGGCTTTTCGGCGGGGAAGTCAGAGTCAAACGCGAGCCGCTTTCATTTTTCATCTGCTGTAAAAAGTATAAAAACGAAAAAAAACATCTTCTTTTTCGAAAATTCATCGAACATTGCGTTTGACCTCCAGCTTTCCGAAAAAAAAAGCCGCGACGCGTACGCAACGCTTTGTTCTTGCCAATCTACCCATTTTGCCTTTCAAGTCGGCAAGAATTGACTACAACTCGATGAATGGATGAATGCAATGCGAAGGGAAAACTGACTTGTATCTATCGAACTATTCCGTTTTTTTTTCTTTTAGAAAATCATGGAAAATCAACATTCTTTGAGTATAACTCGGAAACGAATTGAAGTGATTGGCTTGGGCTTTGGGAAAATAATCTTGATTTAATTTAAAAAAACTTGAATGGGGAATGGAGTGATTTATTGATGATTGAAGATTGGAGATCAGAGAAATTTTCCATGGGTGAGTGGAAAATTAGAAGATGAGTTTTTCTCAAATTTTTTAGATGGTGAACCCGATTTTTGCTCATGTCATTAGGGTCACTCTAAAACTGTGAAATTTGACAAATCTGTTCTTTTTTATCCAGCAAAATTGGTCGAGAAATGAAACGAAGTTGATGCTTAATACTTTTCTGAATAGCTATTAACTATTTTTTTTCCGTCACAAATCATTCCTGAACGGCCGTGATTGTTTCGGGCAGTGTGACGCTTATTGCGAGACTGCGAAAGAAAAAAAAAACGATGGCAAAAAATGGCGTCCAGCCGCCGACCGGTCGCCCGGTTTCCGCCCATCCGAGTTTCACTTGATGGATTTCCACTTTGTGTGTGTGTGTGTGTTTCATTATGTTTGTTTTCGATAAATGCTGGATTTGGTCATCAAATGGTAGGTTTTGAATGGTTGGATCTAGTTCCTATTCTTCTGCGTATTTTTATTAGGATTTGAGAGGTTGGAAACGGAAGAAATGGCTGTTTTTTCAACTCTTCGATTTTTTGTGACGGGATTTTTGATAACAAACTAGCTTACTGTGTTGGAACTTGGTAGTCAAAAGTGATAATACAGAACAATTTATGGCAGTTCAAAATTTTTTTTAGAAAAAACCAAGTTTTCTGTAGAGTTGACTGAAAAGAGAATGTGATCTGATTTTAATGAACGTTGAAAAATTAAACAAGGCTTAATGCTTATGGATTTTAGTTTGGAAATTAAGCGTTATGGGGAAGAACTAGTTTGCCCAAAAGTTCTTTTTGGATTGTTTAAAGGAGCATAACCAATTTCCGAAAAGTCTCACTGGCCTTTAAAAGCCTTTTAGGAGATATTTTAGGTCACCTAATGCTTCTCCGCCTTCCCGAAATTGACTATGACGAGGAATCTTGAAAGGAGGTTATAATTTTTGATCTTCGAAAAGGTCACTTTCCCTAGATTGGCCAAAGTATCGACGATTATTATCTCTAATAGACCCAAAAACAAAAACACGAACTATGGCAAGGGATCTTGAACTAAGGTTATAATTTTTGATCTTTGAAAATGCCACTTTCACTAGATTAGCTGGGATTTCGTCGATTATCTGGAAACTGGACTCAGCAACTTGATCTTTTGAAATTATTTTCAATTTGGCCAACTCCAGTTTGCACGAAGGAAACGAACCCGGAACATGTGCGCGTTCCAATCGGCGACGGCGATTTTTGGGCTGTTTTTTGCTCTCTTCTCTGAATTTCGGTCGGTTTCTCACCTGGGCACACGCGCGCCACGTTTCGTCGTACGGGTTTGCGTCTTTGCTGCGTGCGGAGGACGACACGGTCTCCGCAACGGAAAGGGCCCCAACAAAAACCCGTTTGCCGACGATGACGACGGTTTTGAAGCATCCGCCAAGCATCGGATGGCTTCTTCAACTTTTTCCCCCTCCTCCTTTTCCTACTCCCCTCTGACGCCTATCACTTGCCATCAACATCGTGCCCTTCGTTTCTCTATCAATTTTTATTTCATATGTATTCTGGCATCGCTATTTTCACTTCTTAAGAACGCTTTGAGAAGGTTGAAGGTTTCTGAGAAGTTCTGTGGAATCCGTTTTTCAGTAGTTTATTTGCCTTGTGATTTCTGGATTCAGTAGATCTCAGACTTCTTCCAATTTTTATGAGATTGGATAATTACTCCAGAGGATTTCTATTCTTTTTCTACACTTTTTTTTGGATATTTACTGTTTTGGATAAGCTCTGAAGATTATCGTGGCTTTAACTGGTCACTGTAGAAGAGTCTGAGCTTCCTCTCTTTTTCATTGACTTCTACTTTGAAGGCTTTTGAAAATTATTCATTTTTTTTTCAAGATTTTCAAGAAACGTTTAATGGAGCCCGAATGGTAGTTTTAAAAGCCACATAGTGTTTTTGGTCTTTTCTTTCAGCTTCCCAAGCTAATCAAGGAATTTTTCGCTTTAAGAACTGGATTGTTTTTTGTCGTTTCATTTGATTCGAGAAGTTTGAGCGTTTTCTGAGCCACCATCTGGCTCGGTTGTTAAAGAAATGGTTCGAACTTTTGTGGTAAGTAGTCCCAGGTATTCTTATTCGAAAAGAAAAAAAAATTATCTGCTAAGCGCATTGGGCAACTGAGAAATAGTCTGTCGACATAGTACAAGAATACCCTATGGCGCTTAGCAGATATTTCTGTTCATTTTCGAGCTCTCATACCTAGGATTTTCTACCACAGAAATTTGGACCAGGTCTGCGAAGTTCACCACGATAATTGGAATTTTTAGAGCGTATTTGTAAAAAAGTAAAGAAAAGATTTTTTTTCAGTTAATTGTAAAGTCTTCCCGATCCCTTTGGAACAACGCCCTCAATTATTTTTCGAAGATTACGACTTTCCTCGACCCAGCGAGTTTCTGGCTGAATCTTTAAGCTTGCCATCGCTTTCCGAACACCTGCCGCTTTTTTTCTCTGTGTAGTTTAATGTTGTTCTGAGAATAGGTTTCTAGTGTACTTTTTGATCCGATTTGTGTCGACGTTTTTTTTTAACGTCGATTAGAAAGTTATTATCTTCAATTATAAAAAAAGAAAAACTGTAAGTTTTGGTTTTTTTCCTATCAGAATAGGGAATTTTTTGCAAAGAGTAACAAAAAAAGAAATGTATTCTCACCAGGTCTTTTGAATACAGTAGGACTTCTGAATGATGTGAGGCCACTAAATGCTTTTTTCTTACGCTAGTTTTGGATTTCCGGTCAAAATCCCTAACATATTTTTCTAAAAGGGCTAATAACGTTTAAAGTTTGAAAAAAATAATAATAGTTCGGTACTTCCGTATAAGCTAATTTTAGATGGCGGAGAGAGAAACGGCTCCCATAACCCGATTATTGATATGATCTTCAAAAAGGTTGCCATGTTTTGAGACAGTAAGTAAGCTTGTTCAATTTCAATTTCGGGTCTAGATAAAATTACATAAAAATTACAGACTTTTCTGTCATTTTCGAACGCAGATTAAGATTCAGCTCGAAAAGTTGTATCTTAGGAAATAGGCCCATCGGAAATTATCATTTTGAGCTGAGAAATTTTTGATTAGCATTCTAAGTTTCGAATTATCTTTAAATGTTCATAAAAGTGGATATCTGATCGAGGGCGTTCTGATTGAAATTATATGGCGGTTCCTCCGGATTCCAAGAAGTGAGATCAAACAAAAAGAAGCAGGAGAAAAAGAGAAACTTGGCCTTTCCCCTCTATCAGCACCTTCGATGAGTGCGAAGTGTGTGTATTTTGTCATTGTGTGTGTGTTTTGTTGCGGTTCTTCATCTCGACTCTGACGCTGAAAAAAAAGCAGAAGAAGAAGATGAGAAATATTCACTTTTACAGTACCTTGTTCTTCATGGAGATCTGAGAATTCACAAAATTTTAAATTAAGCGATTTTCGACCGAAACTTTTTATGGTTTGAGCTCTCTGCGATCTATTTGACTTCGCCCAATTTTAACTTTTATTTGGAATTCTGAACTTTTTCTGAGCATAGATGAGCAGACTATTTTTGAAGGCGACCAACCTATCCTACCGAGTTTTTTTTAAGAATAATTTTTTTAAAGAATAATTTTTTGTTTCTTTCTCATTATAGTAATTTCAGCTCTCCACTCGTTTTTAGTATAGATGATACTCTTTTTCTTTTTTCCTTGAACACTTTTCCTTGATAAGAATCGGGGCTGTCGCGTTTATTAGGCTTATCAGTTAGATAAATTCACTGGATACAAAGCTTATCATTATGGCCGATTCGATAAGAATTATTTAGTAAAAAATGAAAGTTTGACGGTTTGGTCTTGTTAAGGATCCTGTTGAAAGTTAATACTACTTCTTTATAACAATATAGTTGTTTAATCTTCGCTGGCGTGTTTGAAGGTATCTGAAACGGCATTGAAAAATGGCTTTTCTCTTCGAGAGCGTCCTCAAGTTTTATCTACGTCACTTCAAATGGAAGGAAAAAATTTTAAATATTTTTTCCGTCAAGTAAAACTTCTTTTTCCTTACCCTGCTGCTTTTTGATGTACTATCAAAGAACTGGCTGTGCTCTTGGAGAAAGTTTTTTTGTTTAATCTGCGGCGAACGCGTGGTGACTGGGTTTTGGTACCATCTTTCAAGGGAGATATGAGAGATATGAACGACTTTCAATGCTTCGTTGCCTTTCGATTCAATAAGTTCATCCTCATTTAGCTCTTAAAGAGTTCTGATAAAGTTTGAAAGTAGAATACCTTTTCTAGGACATACTTTTGGCTTCGATAAGCCATTTTTGATTCGAGTTATGAAAATTTGATCAACGCCTTCTTTTTAGGACAAACTTTTGCAGGCCATGTTAACCTTCCGTCGTTTTTAGGTTTTTTTAGATTGAAATTTTTAAAAATTAGTATTTTTTTGGTAGGTGAGACGTTTTTTAAGGTTATTTTTTTCTTGTTTATTAGAGAATTTTTTTATACTTCTTTTTTCGTTTCTTGAACATTTCCGAGTTAAAATGATCTTTCAACGGTTTTTTTGAAGTTTCTTGGTAGCGATAGCATGGTTTTCGAACGTAGAATCAAGATAAAAGAAGTGGTTCCTTCTTTTCGTTTTTTTTTTTCACATGCATATCAGTGTGTAACGTTAGCGGCCTCAGTAGCAGCAGTCCCACTGCATTGGCTTGTTGGAGAGATTGTTCTGCGAAGGCGTGTTTTGTTTGCGTTTTTGTGTTGCGTCCGTCGTCGCCCCCCCCGGTTGGTCCGTTTCTTCTTTCCAAACACATACACGCACCGTCTCGGTTTTATCTTCCCTTTTTTGGACTCATCCGTTTATTTGATTAACTTTTTTTTTTTACCAAGAAGACTTGGATCTTTTAGTGTATTCTTATCATAATTGCGTATGAGAATCCTCTGGAACTTCTTTTTCCAAGGAGTACTGTAACAGGGAGTCCGCAGTTGCTCGTCTTGCTGATAAAGTTTTTAGTGACCACTTTAGGGTCTCGAAGTTTTAGGGGCCACTATAATAGTCAAATTAGTGGCCACTTTAGAAGTCTGAGTAGTACTACTAGATTACTAAAGACTGCTAACGTGGCCACTGAGACGCAGAATATACCAAAGGTTGAAATTTTCAAAAAGCATTGTGGAAATAATAAACTTGGAATTTCTGAAAAAATGATGACATTAGATTGCAGTTTTTCAGTTATAATACCGTAGTGGAAAAAGGGAATAAAGAAATTTTTCTGTAGATCTGCCTTTTTTTTTTTAGAAGGTGAGAGAATTTTACTCTTGCAAAGCTTTTTTTTTTCCCGGTGACGTAAAAAGTATCTAAATTATTAGCGTATCAAATATTTTTGTCTCAAAAAAATTTTTGAAATAATTTTAATAATTTATTTTTTTAGTAAATGCATTGTAAAATTCATAATTTCTTTCTTCATAGTTGAAAAAAAGGTTTCGAGGACGGTTGAAACGATTCTCATTTTTTCCTGACGTCCAATTTTTCTCGATTTGGCGAATAGTTTGTTTAGCTGTTTTTTTGGGAAATGTCCTTTGATGGTTGTCTTCTTGAAGTCTATTAATGGCGCATTGGTATTTCGGTTTTTATATTCTTTTAGATTCTGAAGAAACTGAAAATTCTGAGGTTAGCTTCTGATTGTTATTTTGATTTTTTTGCTGATAAGTGTCGGGAACTCGAAAAATTTTTCTTACTCTAGGGCTTTAGGGTGACGAAGAAAATGAAAGGAAATAAATTTGAAAATTTTGACTTTCAGAGAAAGTTTCTACTTAGAAAATATTCATAGTAGTAGTAGGTTGATCCTCTTTTTTTTGAGTTCTTTCAGTTTTTTTCTTTGAAGATTTATACTAATATAAACTAAATTTGGTCTTTATATTTTTCAAGTTCCCTTTCATCTCCGAAAAAAAAGAAAATTTTCAGGCGTTGGTGAACCAACTTTTTATAACCTTAAAAATGTCGGTTTTATTCTCTTCGTAGGGTTCATAAATTGCTATTTTTATTTCTTTTTTATTCAGAAACGATCCATTGTGAGTATTTTTCATTTTTTTTTTTCTTCTTTTTGTTCAGACTTGGTAATGTTCGTCGTCACTTGTTTTTTGGGACGCTTATCTTCAGAATCGGATGGTTTTTGGCGTGTTTTTACGTGAGACTTGTGTATTTTTTTTACGCTTCTTTTTTCACTCGGTATATCGATATCAAGTTTCTTTCGGAACATGCTGCTGTAGCGTTTTTGAGTTGTGTAATGGCAATGAGGTGGTGGGGTTCGAAGAATCGGCGGCGGGAGTTGCGGAACCTTTTTTTTCGAGGATTCCATGATCTGTTCAAAAATCTTTATTTCTTGGAAGAGAGTGGAAGAGTTCGATGAAGGTTTCGAAGCGAAAGTCTATTTTCGCGTCGTATTCTAGCGTTTCAACTATTTTTGGAAATATTCTTACCATTAGTTACTTTGAGTCAATTTTT